TGAAAACAAAGACTGAAAATCTTCACCAGCATAGTTCTGATGTCACTTCATCTTATTAGGTAAAAAAAAAAAGTAGTTTTGAAACTTTGTTTTTTATTTATCTAAATAGTTTTTTGTCACTTTTAGAGCTCTGTTTCATTCATTATAGGTCAGAACTGATTGCTCATAGACATTTAGTAACCCTCTGGGTTTCTCTTCAGAGGTTTAATCGTGATTCTTTATAATCTTCTCCCTGGCTCTTCTCACTTCACCTCCATAACAATAGATTCTGTGAAATCTGCTGCTTGGACCTCCTCACTGCTGTCTCTGCATGTCTGTTTCTCCCGTCTGTGAAACGTAGTCTGTGATTTTTTTTTTCTCTGCTGACCTCACGCAGCCTTGGGTGACTTGGTGCTTGTGTGTATTTTTCAGGGTGAACTGGAACGCCAGCTTCTTCAGGCCAACCCCATCCTGGAGTCCTTTGGCAACGCAAAGACTGTGAAGAACGACAACTCGTCGCGTTTTGTGAGTTACACCTATTAGATACAATCCGGTCTGATATGAGAGTCATCAGATCTGCTGATGCATTAGTGAGAGTCTCATTCGTGTGATTTAATGTAAATGCAGAAAGCGGTTCCTGCATGTCAGTAAAGAAGCCTGCTACTTTATAGCAGAGTCATATAATAAAATATGTAGTGGGAAATATCAGTAATGCACTCACAGAATAAAAAGTTGTGCGCCCCAGGCAAAGTGGCGGCAAAGAAACGAAAGTGCAAATGTTGCAGGTTTATTAATCTATGCCCCTTGGCTAGAAAACAGTGGCTGCAGAGTGATGGGAGGTAGAATCATGCTCTGAGCCTTCAGTTGGATCAAAAGCACGGATAGTATGTCCAAGGTATTTATACTTAGGTTACATTTCTCCAGCCGACTCTGGTGTTTCCTAACCTGACTCCGCCAGATGGATTTGCTCCGCATATCCATCTGGAAACCTTCCGTTGAAGTAATTTTGGGAAGGGGCGAAAATACTGGTTAGCTGATTGGCCTATGTTGGTGATAGACGGGCCAAATAAACCAATCAGATCAACGAAGCATATGACGTACTAACAGAGCGACGACGAAGAGGAGCCAATTGATAGATCAAACTCTTGCCGAAACCACTCGGGAGAAGAGCAAAAACATCTTTTCCTCTGAGAAAAGCCTCCAGAGCAGTGTTTTGCTCTTCTTTCAGTGAAGAAATACTCTGTAATTCCCATAAAACTTGCTCGATAGCCACGCTAACGCTAGTTTCATCGGCTGAAGCCGCCATGTTCTTTAGACTGAACTGTCGCGCTTCTCGTTGCGTCACACCTCAACCCGCCTCAAAGCCAACGCTGATTGGACGTTGGTTTGGTGAACGGCTCCAAATTCTCTTCAACGGAGAGTCTCCAGACTGATTAGCGAGTGAAACCTTGAAAGCTCACGAGATCAAGATGGTCTCACGAGGCTAGGTGTTTCCTACAGCCTAAGCGTTTGACACTAAACCGGTTCTGTGCATCTGCTGGCCTTTGATCAATAAGTTGTCCTCCCAATTGTCAACCATTCTGGTGATATGTTTACGTAAGGCCGTCCTACGTGCTCGCCCCGTTAGCTATATTTTTTTGAGTATGCGTACTTTCAGGCGTATATCTGTGGTGAGCTACGGTTTCAGACAGTCGTTGAAGCTCACCTTTCTCACCGTGGTTCTTTGAAAATGGCAGAGGGTCGTAAGAGAAAAAGTGCCTAAAAAAGTCACGTGTCAGTTTCTGATACGGACAACTAAACATCCACCTGGTGCAACACATAGACTCATGAGCTATAAGAAGCAGGAGATGACCTTGTTCGGGGCTCAATCTTTGCCGGACGCTCGCGGACGTGATTTTTGAGCCCACAGCTGTGCAGCTCCAAGCTCTTTTCTCTGTCCTGTAACGACCTGATCTGGAATAAACTCTGTTATTTTTTACTCCTGTTTTATAGTCCTTTTGTATATGGTTTTACCCAATTTAAGTTAAGAGTAGTAATTAACTTGCTCTCAGAAAAAGAACCGTGAGGAAGCCCCGAGGCGCAACGGCTTTTTTAGGGGACATAACTTCCTCATTTAACAGTTACTTTTGCGGACGTGTCCATACATCAGATCGTCATCTGTTGGATCGATGCATCGATAAAAAACGATTATTATTTACACCCCTAGTAGGCCTTCACTGCTAGCTTGAACAGATATAGATATATTAGTCAGTTTGTTAACCAGATAAATTCTGTTATTGGTATATTTTTGTTTATGGAGGATTTCTGCTCCAAAGTTTAGACCCGAAATGTGATGATGTGTCATCATCAGGACCTTTTTTTACGGTGCAATCGTTTTGTCTTTCTCTGTTTTAACCTGATCTCTGTGTTGATCTCTGCAGGGGAAATTCATCCGCATTAACTTTGATGTTGCTGGATACATCGTGGGAGCCAACATAGAAACCTGTATCCTGTGTTTTATTTCAAATGTTCAATTAACAAGCCTAAGGAATTTATATTTGTCTACCTTCATTAACTTCAGCTCTTACTTCATATTAACTCGATCAACCTTAAGGTCTGCCAGAACTACCGTCTTCCTGCTGGTAGTTCATGGCTCAGCGAACTACCAAGTCTTTAGTTATTAAAAAGATTTACTTTTCCTGACTGTCCTGCGTCAGACCTGTTGGAGAAATCCAGAGCTATCCGTCAAGCCAAAGATGAGCGCACCTTCCACATATTTTACCAGCTGCTGGCAGGAGCTGGCGAGCACCTCAAATGTGAGTAAGAACATTATAAACGATGAACAAAAAAGTTCACATAAGTTCTTAGAATCTATCCATCCATCTTCTTCCACTAACCAAGATATTTCCTCAATATTTTTTTTCTTTTATTTGTTTTTGTTGGGGTTTTTTTGTGGTGGACCAATTCTTTAGGCAAATGTTTCTTTTTTTTCCTCCAATCTCATGATAATATTACGTAAAATACGTATAATAAAAGAATTACAACTAAAAGAAACATTGATCAACAATGAAACAAAGCCTTGGCAGTAGATGACAAATGGAGAGAGCGTCAGTAAATGCATCATAATGATCTAAGACAGGCCTACTGGATCAACTGGTGATATATCCGTCTATCCCTTGTTACGTTTCCATCCACATAGGGGCACAATGAGATTATTTAACCAAATTAAACAAATTTGAACAGAAAGGTAGACATTTGCATGCAAACAATAATTTTTTTTGCTTAAATGCAACTAAAAGTTGATTTTGAGCTTAATTCCTCTTAAAAATAGGAAGCAAATGAGTCCTAAAAATAATAATAAATAAATTTAAAAAATCTTTAAAGCCGTAGGGAAGTGATATTTAAATGTCAAATCATTCTGGCTTA